TAGTACATTCAGCTAGATGTGAAGTAGCAGCATCTATTTTTAGACACAGAAAATATTTTTTTTAATATTAATGTTTTAATGTCTAATTTCTTTTAATTTGAACACAGAATAAAATTATCTTTCTCTGTATTGCAATCACTCTGGTAAGTCTACAAAGCAGACGGCATCAACCAAAACAGGTGAGATCAGCACTGCATATTTTCCAGGACTGACCAGAGTAAGCATTAGAAAAGCTCTCTGCACTTCCTGGGCCATAGACTGGTTTGGCACTTTTTCACAGTGTGAATCAAGTAGGCTTGAAGAGCCTACTTGAAATCAATGTGTAATTTTATAAGTTTTTTGAGATTGGAAGTACTAGAAAACATTTCCTGTGTCTCTTGTGTGCAAGTGAATGGTTATTTCCAGAGGCTTACAGATAGCATAATGCTCAATTCCATCTATTTCTGGGACACTAATACGTAAGAGAAAAAAAAAAAAAACAACAAACAAACCATTAACATCTTCTTCCTGTGCACAATACGTAAGTGAAAATTCATGTTGTATTACTATTTCTCTTAATTTATTTAACAAATGATGTGTTTACAGAGACTGGATTATTACCTTATCGGACTTGAGGCTGAATCAGGATCCCGTGCCATTACCGTTCCTATTATTGTACCCAACTCAATATCTTCATGCACCTCAAAAAGGTAAGAAGATCTGCTGAAGACAGGAGGTTCATCTACATCTTCTAAAGAGATTTTCACGATAGTTGTATCTTTGAAGGGCCCCAGATAATAGAAGCGTGGATCCACATGAGTATTCTCAGCTTCTACTTTCAAGGTATAAAGTCGTCTTGTCTCATAGTCCAGTGGCTAAAAATTAAGATGATTATAAAATTTATTAAAATACATATTGACAGATTTTGAGCTATATAATTTATGGAAACTGAAGAGGACACAATTCTTGCTAGACTTGTCCTGGGTTGAGGGAAACCCCATACAGTTCATACTTTTCACAGCACAGGGTTCACTTGCTCCAGTAAGAAATTTCCCTTAGTTTTAGAGGCAGTTTCTCTTCCTAAATATTATTTGAATTCTCATAGCACTAATGACAAAATATTATCAGTGCAAATTTACCAATGATTTAGTGAATTTTGCAGCTGCTTCACAAGAATATGGATTTGAAACAATCATATAAGCATTTAAAATACTTGGAATATGGACTTGAAACACTGACATTTCAGAACAAGGGATTTAATACTACTGTTTCTCAGGAAATACTATGAATGCCTTAATACTTATAACAGACTGAGCATCCTTATTGTCAAACAAATGTATCTAGCCTTAAATATCAGGAGTGTTTTAAGCTGTTGGTGTTTTGTTTTGGTTTGGTTTGGTTTGGTTTTTTTAGGAGGGGATGTGTGTCAAAGTTCTCTATATCTACAGAAACAGTAATACCTTAATCTTGTTCTTTTTCATTTAATTTAATGAATCCAACACGAGAGATTTTTTTTTAATAGATTTGACATTTTGTCAGCAGTTCATTTTTAAAATGGAAGGATGAAAGGTTCAAGGTTATAAATAGAAACCATTTTGGATAGAAAAGAAACTCTATTCCTTTAACTTTTTCTGTCATAGATGAAATGTTTTAGCTAATTAATGATACTGAGGAAATGAGCAAGATGAGAATTTACCTTTCTGACACAATGATTTCATTAGCTCCCCCAAAATCTCAGGTAGATATCAAACTAGTGGTTTTCATTCATCAAAATGGGTGGTATAACACTTGGATTTTCTGCCTAACTGCTTTTAAATAAAAATTGATGTTCATGAAAGATGCCAGACTGACAGCCTAGAAATTTAAATTTTCTATTTAAGAGCAGAAAGATGCCGCCCAGTGAAAGAATGAGTTTCCCCACTGCCCCCTAAAAAATGTAGTTAGAGCAGAAGAGAATATCTATTAATATAATTGAGAAATATAGCATAGTGCTGCTGTTTAAGCTAGATCTGAGACTATTGGTGTTTCTATAGAATACAGCATGTAACTGTTAAGGTATGCTGGCTTCAAGCCTAGAAGCAAAGCTATATTAGTCTTGCTTTATTCTAATTAGCTGGCTTAATTTGCCAGAAGGTACACCATGGAGATGTAGTTAACTTGCTACTAGTACATTCACATCCAGTTTGGACATCTCTTCAGGCTATGCTGCAAAACACAGATAAAAAATGTGTGGATTATACAAGTATTCCAATATATTATTGGTAATAATTAATACAATAATAATAATTAATATATTGGTAATGAACAAAACTGTTGCCCAAATATATGAAATTGTGCCAAAGCAATTATTTTGACTGTGAGAACTTGTATAGAAAATGTTATTTTGCAGCATATATTAAATTCAGGCTTAGTGATTTAAGGGGTCAGTGAAGAAGCACCAGCTATTTGTAGTTATTCATAATTGAAAACAGAAATTACAGTCCACGTGGCTAAATAATAAAAAAATAAATAATACCTTCCTAAATTAACAAACTGAGCATATCTTCTTCCTTGCTAGTGAATGCTGTTGTATATGCTGTCCAAATAAGCTACTTATTTATCATATGAGAAAGCATCCTGAAAACTTGCAAAGTGTGTCAGATGCCTAATGACAAAATGAGAAGATCTTGTTCTAATGAACATTTAGTGGTGACATTTTTGGAGCTGCTATGTTATAACTTATGAATTTTTTATGCTTGATCCAGTTATTAGACCCTTTTTTCAAGTCAGTATTGATTTAATATAGTAACAGTCTGTGTGAAAAAAAAATGAAGCAAGCAAGAAAAGAGCATCTCAAGAGAAGTCTTAATGAACTTCTAGGAAAAGGAAAAATATTGAGCCCCAAACTTTGTTGCTAAATTCCTTCCTAGATAAACTACAATTCTGACTATGAACATAGAACATGGACATTAAAAAGGAACACAGTCTGAACTTTGCAGGACTGTATTTTCTTTGGTTGCCATTATCAAGAGATGTGGAGACATAGTTTATAGTAGTGTTTAATTCATTATTCTATGATTAAGGATGTTTGTTTTAAAAGCTAATACAAAAAAATGCTTTATGTTAGAGATGCTGCCTGAACTCTATAGAAAGATCTCTACAAATCCCAGAGAAAAGGACTGAGGGACTTCTGTAAAGAAAATTGCTGAGGAGCAGGAGAATGGCATTGCTAAGTGTGAGATCTTACACTTCTGAAAGTGCTCTGACATGCAAGATAGGGGGCGGAACTAAAGCTAGCTCTGAAACAGGGACACCATCATCACTCACTGTTTGTGTGCTAATCAGCTGATGTGCTGCAAACTGGAACAAAACAATATAGCTTGTGACTCTGCTTCCATGAATGTGTTTGTGTTCTGGTGTACACTGGTCACCTAAGTTTATGAGAAAGTCCTAGATAATGAAAACCTATGTCCCTCAGTAGTGAGTGGTCTGCGTATTGCTTGCTGAAGAAAATAGATTACATGAATACTAAAAAAGTCTAATTGAATCACAGAGATAATTAGTACTAACACATTGGGGATGGTTCATTTTTCACATACTTTGCTGGCAATAATGTTTCAAACCTACACTGTGTCTCAGATATTGTTACCACTTGTTATTTCCAGTTCATCTTAAAAGGAAATTGTATTGTTCAGTCACTGATAGGGGATACATGCAAGTGATAAGCAATTAGAACTTAGTGATCTAAGCACTTTCTTCCAATGAACATTTGTGGCATAACATTGACACCAATATAATTTAGCGGATGTTGTTAACAGACACCTTTCGCACTGTTATGATGCCTTCTTGTGTGTCCTTCTGTGTCACAATATCAAACATATCTGTCCCATCACCATCTATAATTTTGTACTCTACTTCTGCATTTTTTCCAGTGTCTGCATCTGTGGCTTTGACGCTGCCAATGGCTGTCCCAACTGGGGAGGACTCAGGAATGCGGAGATGGATGGTACCTGTCAAAGAGACAAAGAACCACTCAGGAGCCCTGTAAGTCATTACACATTCAATAAGTAACATTGTGTCCCATAGTAGCTGATTACATATTTTTGTGTGTCTTTTATTCTAGAGAACTTGCCATTGAATTCTAAGAGGATGAGCAAAATGTGAGGCAGACAACTATGCAAGGGAAATCTTTAGGTAGAAGATTGAAAAATAAAATTGTAGAAAAACAAATTCATAGAAAGATAGGTTTGAAAAGGACCTCTATTCTCCTATCTCAAAAAAGAATAAACTAAACTATATGTTTTTTTAATAGAATCATAAAATGTGTTGGGTTAGAAGTGACCTTTAGAGGTCATCTAGTCCAATCCCCTTATAGTGAGCAGGGACAATGTTAACAAGATCAGGTCACTCAGAGCCCCATCAAGCCTGGCTTTAAATGTCGCCAGGGATTAGTCCTCCACCACCTCACTGGGCAACCTGTTCCAGTGTTTAACCACCCTTACAGTAAAAAACTTCCTCCTAATGTCTAATCTAAATCTACTATGCTCTAGTTTAAAATCATTGCCCCTTGTCCAGTCGCTACGTGCCCTTGTAAACAGTCGCTCCCCGGCTTTCTTGTAAGCTCTCTTCAGGTACTGGAAAGCTAATATAAGGCCTCTCTGCAGTCTTCTCTTCTCCATGTTGAACAATCTCAACTCTCTCAGCCTGTCCTCATAGGAGAGGTGTTCCAGCCCTCAGATCATTTTTGTGGCCCTCCTCTGGACCTTCTCCTACAGTTCCACATCTTTCTTGTACTGAGGGCTCCAGAACTGGATGCAGTACTCCAGGTGAGGTCTCACCACAGCAGAGTAGAGGGGCAGAATCGCCTCTTTTGATCAGCTGGCCATGCTTCTTTTGATGCAGCCCAGGATGTGACTGGCCTTCTGGCCTGTGAGCATGCATTGTTGTCTCATGTCAACAGCTTTTCATCCACCAGTACCCCCAAGTCCTTTTCCTCAGGGCTGCTCTCTATCACATCATCCCCCAGACTGTACTGATAATGAGGATTGCCTCTACCCAGATGCAAGACTTTGCACTTGGCGTTGTTGAACCTCATGAGGTTCACATGGGCCTGCCTCTCCAGTTTTTCTAGGTCCCTCTGGATGAGATCCTATCCCTGTGGCATGTCGACTGCACCACTCAGTTTTGTGTCATCTCCAAATTTGCTGAGGATGCACTCAATCCCACTGTCTATATCATCAAATGAAGATATTAAACAGCACTAGTCCCAGTGTGGATCCTTGAGGGACACCACTTGTCACCCCTCTCCATCTGGATATCAAGCCACTGACCACTACCTTCTGGCTGCAATCATCCAACCAATTCCTTTTCCACTGAGTAGTCCACCCATCAAATTCATAGCTCTCCAACTTAGAGAGAAAGATGTTGTGGGGGATCATGTCAAAGGCCTTGCAGAAATACAGATAGATGACATCCATAGCTCTTCCCTTGTCCACTGATGCAGTTACCCCACTGTAGAAAGCCACTAGGTTGGTCAGGCAGGACTTGCCCCTAGTAAAGCCATGCTGGCTATATCGAATCTCCTCTCTGTCCTCCATGTACCTTATCAGAGTTTCTGTGAGTATCTACCCAGGCACAGAGGTGAGGCTGACAGGTCAGTAGTTTCCAGGGTTCTCCTTTCTACCCTCTTTTAAAATGGGTGTAATGTTTCCTTTCTTCCAGTCACCAGGGACTTAATCCAACTGCCATGACTTTTCAAATATCACAGAGAGTGTCTTGGCAATGACATCAATTCCTTCAGAATTCTGGGATACATCTCATTAGGTCCTGTGTACTTATGTACATTCAAGTTTCTCAGATGATCATGAACTTTGTCTTTCCTTACAGTGGGAGGCACATTGTCCCCCTCGTCCCCATCTCACAGTCCTTCAACTCAGCAGGTGTAAGGAGAGATCTTGCTAGTTGTCACTATCTTGCCATTGTTGCTCATCAGGATGGGGTGGGGGAACACACAGTTTCTTTAATATTCCTTTTGATTGACATACCTGTAGAAGCCATTTTGTCTATGTCATTCCTGAAACACCATCTGGAAAGACTGCTCTGTGTTCTTTTCAGGTTTCACTCTGCTTTTTTTCCCCTTATTACCTAAGATAAATCCTTTGGGATACATTTTACGTCTATTTTATCATGGAAGCAATACAAACAACAGAACTCCCTGACTTCACTGGCCAGTTCTAAGCAATTTCAACTTTCAAAATTAGATAGTCAGACACAATATTAAATAAAATTGAATGACATCTTAATGCAGGGATAGTTTTTTGAAAATCCAAAAGCAGAAGGTCTATATTTGTTAAAGTAGTTAATTCGTACTCAACTAAAGCTTATGAACATTGCAATATTGGTTTTGTGTTAAAAACTATCTCAGTAGTATAATTTCATGTGGTGCCATACAGCTGATAAAAAATACATAGGAATAAAACTGCCATCATTCAGACATGCTGCAATAAATTGAAATAAATGGCTTACCATACATTTTACTATTCTGTGTCCTAGCCTTACTGTGAAAACCGTAAATAAGGGTTGAGATCTCTGGTCCCATCTGTCAGAACATACAGTAGGAAAACATGTGGGACACACAATACACTATGAAGAATTCTCAGAAGATTATTTTAAAGTGAATGCAGATATAGATGTCATTCCAGATGAAATTTAAGTAACCAAAGCACTACTGAAAAACATTTTCTTCTCTGCCCTTAGTTAAGTGTTCTATGATCTGCTGTTTCACTTAATAACTTCCTAAGTAAAATGTGTTTTGGAAGACAGCTCAGTTAACAGCAACACAAAAGTGGAATCAGTAAGGCCAGCAGCCACAATGCGAAAAAGTTGAACAGCTTATCCAAAAGGGCAGCTATTAGATTTGTGCGATGAGGAAGATTCACGGGAAAAGAGCAGTGGCAAGGCAGTACAAGAAGGGCACTGGCAACTTGATCTTATACCTTTGGGAAAGCACAAGTGAGTCACTTGAGGATTACCAGTGTCTTTTAATAGAGTACATTACATGACAGCTACTGAGTGACAAAGGAAGTGGTTTTGGTTTTGGGAACGCTCACTGAAAGAAACCCCTATTATTCACTGGGACATTTGACTTTCTCTCATCCTACAGAACTAGTTTTTTCTTTCCATTATGTTATAGCTTGCCAAACCTCAAAAAGAAAAAAAAAAGAAAAAAAGAAAAAATAAAGAAGCAAAATTAAAAAACCCACATATTCACATATAGTTTGTAATTAATCATTGAATGAAAAATATTGAAATTTAATTTCTTCATATAATTTTACTTAAGCAGCTTTTGATATAAAACTGATATACAGCTGCAGAATTACTATTTTATGGCCATACACATTCCACACTCTATTTATATTAATTCATTTTTGCTCAGTTACATTTTGGTGTTTCAATCCAGTGATTTATCTTGCATTTGCTCTGACATTTTCATTACCTTTCTCTAATTCCTAAATCTGTGTACTTTGCTATGTTATTATATAATCTCTCTGTAATCGCCTAATGGTTGAAAAAAAAAACCAGAATAAAAAATAGTGTCTGCTCCCATTTAGTATTTATGCAGTGTTATGTAAAACTATAGTGAAAAACCACATTTTTTTCCCAATTAATATTTATATGTTATAATTAGTTTTATAGTGTGTCAACTATTCCCCACATTTTTGTTACAGTGTTTAAAACCACATCCCCAAGCTATGGCTTGTAGATACTAATTTGACTCTCACTGCAATACACAACTTATTAATTTAGTCTACAAAGTGGTAAGAGCTCATATCTTGAACTGCTAATAGAGTAGTGGAAACAGAAAGTGAAAATAGTCAGAAACCCATAATCTGACAGATAATTTTATGTCTAACCTATCCATCTACAGAAATCTCTACTGTCGTATGAGACACTTCATTTTATTATTAATGTTACTGAAGACATTTAATGCACTAAATATGGGATGCAGTGAAGCTTTAGACACTGTATCAGAACACAACCTACATGAAACTAGAATTATTCTTGCAAAACTCTGTTGTCAATCCTTTTTCTCTCACTTCTTTCACAGAGTAATTTCCTGTTTGCATTTACTCCAGTGAGTGATGTTCTTTCATTTGCCTGTCAGGAATAAAAATGGGAGGATCAAGGAAAAGAAAAGCTTTTCCATACACTAAGAAGAGCGGAAATCTGATGGAAGATTAAAGTCGACACACTTGTGTCTGGAAATACTTCTGTCAGTCATAACGAATGAAAAAGCAATCTTATTCATGTTTATCCTTCTTCCTATTTACTCTTGAATAAGCACATAATGTAAAGGTAGGTATTTTCATAGAGTCTAAATCTCTAGAGAGGTATTTTCATACAGGCTAAATCTCAGAGGAGACAAGGGCTGCTATAACTCAGATGCTCTGAGTTTCAGCCAGTCTCAGGCTTCTAAGTCCATAAACCACATTTTCCATTTATCATTGGTCAACACCATCTCCTTACTTCTCAGAACACCTGGATAAATTACAGCTGAAATACAGATCCAATATCTGAGGTCTTTGATGTACTTTCTGTGCAGAACTTTGATAATATTTTACATTTTATCATGTTTCCTCAGAAGAAAATCTGCTGCTACCTATATGGTTTTCAAGATATCTTTGAAAGGAGAATAATATTCTGAAGAGTCCTAAACAAGAGAGCTAAACAACAGAGGAATTAATGGCTCTTTTGTTTTTAGAGGTATTTCTGAGAAAGTATGGTAAAATAAAACATTTAGAATTTTCCACAATTCTGTGTTACTTGTGAGAGAAGTTTAATCTGTTATGAAACAAGTTATTGAAACATGTAGTTGTAATATGCTGAGTCCTGTGAAAACATAACGGATCTTCTAATATTTTTACTGGTAATTTATAAAACTGATATGAATGATTGTCTCATGAACCTAATACATATCTGGTTTTTATTAATGGAATGAATACGAATAATTTAACTTAAACATTACTCCAGTAGTCTCATTGAAGTCTATAAAAATTAGGAGCCATTATAATGTCTATTTGCATTTTAAGATTAAGTACAAAGATTTTTTAAGAAATCAGTAGCTATTTTTACTTTCATATATCTAGTCAAGTAAGTCCACTTTCTAAATGTGTCTATTTTTATTTCCAGTGAAACATGCATTTATATCTAACAAAGCTATTGGCAGAAATAAAGTAGAAAGAAAAACAAAACAAAACAACAACAGAAATAACATATGAGAGTAAAAGAAAAAAGTTTATTTAAAGTAAAGGTCACATCTAATTTACACTGACATTAATAGAAAAATGCACACATGGGATGCCACATCACATCCTCATGTGTCTTAGATATGACATTGGACTGCCAGATAAGTCATGTAAAATGGTCTAGAAAGTTGATTCTCAGTATTAATTTAGCACACTGTCTAAGAAAGCAGGGGGAAAAAAAGAGAAGAACATAAATAAGCATTTTTGATGCTTATACACTGTCAAATTTAACTGTTGAAATTAGCTTTCCTGTAAAGCTTTGAACATGACACTTCTTTGAATAGTCTTCCTCAATACATCCAGAGAGGAGTAATACAGCATTCCTCACCCACACAGCACTGGAATTACCATAAGAGTCTACATAAAAATGGAAACAAGACAAATAATAAATCAATAACCTGTGGAAATAGTAAGAACAGAAAATGGCAAATGAACAATAAATTCTGTCCAGAATAGATCCTGTGTGCAAATCCACAATCTGTAAGTACGCAGTTGTTCATGCTTTTCAAATTTTGAATCTGTATATGAAATCACACGCTAATAAACATCTTAGCTAAACACATATATATCAACTACAATATTAAACTGAACAGAATTATGTACTCAATTGTGTTATAAAAAGCATGTCAAATTCAGAATCATTTGATTGTGTTATTTTGAGCCTGAAGGCTGATCATCAGTAACTGCTGGATTCAGTAGAGTTATACAGAAGAAAATGTAGGTGGTTAGGATAGTGTAAATCTTTTAGCTATTAAGAATGTCCAAACCATCTTAAAAATGCTACAACTTCAGTACATATAAAAGGCTTCAAATGTATTTTATATGCTTAACCTTTAACAAGTTTGATGTTACATAGCTTAATATTTCTATATTACATGCAGACAAATAATGTTTTTTATATTTTGGTTTGAGGATATAAAGTTTTGATAGCTGAACATTATAAAAAGCTTTGGTAAACTTAAGATGTAAAAAACCAAAAGTTAAATGACATTTAATTTACTTTAGGAAATTTTCTATTAGGTTTTGTCATATTGTAACTGAAAAAGTACAAATCTGCTTGATTGCCTTAAAGTAACTTCTTTTTGAGGTTCTTCATGATTAAATATTTAAGTAGATAGTAGAATTCAAACATTTCTGCATATCTAGAATTACTACATGTTTTATTTTCCAGTAGGGGCATAGGATTTAAGCAATAGGTAAGGGAAAAGAAAAACATTTCTCTAATGCTCTTATGAGTCCACTACAACCCCTTCCCATAGTACTGGCAAATATTCCAGGTTTGCTGTAGTTATATTTGACCATGCAACTGTTTTCCTAAGAAACAAATGCTGTAACATTTAATATAGTGCTTTAATAATAGTGAATAAATCAGTACCTAAGCCTTTTGTTCATGTGTGCTCCATAATCTAGATTTACTCTAAATTAAACCAGATGGTGATTGCTTAACTCTTTAGTTTGAAGCTCTTACAGTGCAAGGCAACAATTAAATGTAGCTTACTCTGGGGGAATCGAGGTGGATTGTCGTTGACATCAGTCAAAGTGATGTTCACGGTCGTGGTCCCTGATAATCCACCCATCTGGCCTCCCATGTCCTTTGCCTGGATAACTACTTGGTACTGCTCCCTGTTCTCTCTGTTCATGTTTGGCAAAGCAGTTCTGATGATGCCTTAAATAAAGAAAGAATTATCAGAAATTGTTAATAGTCTATTTTTTGTCAGGCAGCAATCTGCTGCATATTTTTTGTATTAGTCTGTGAAATATATTTCTAAACTATTAATTTCATGTTTTAAAATACAAATTTCTGTTCATAAGCTTTATATATAATCTTCAGTTCAGGCTGTTTGTTGAACAAACATTAGTTCTGTATCACAGCTCCCTTTGCAGTTTCATGCTAAAAATTATTCAAAATATTTATGCACAACATTTATGAGTAGAAAGAACACTTTTTATTAGTCCAAGTACAATCATTAAGAAAAAAAGAACAACATTTTCTAGTACACAAAGCTTTATTCTTGCTTTTATCAGAAATGTTGTTACATAGAACCTTAAGCAATCAATAGTACCACTGTAAAGTTACTTATGTTTCATGATGTCAGCTGTAATAACTCTTAAGTTTTTATATTTATTATAAGAATTATAAATTATGATGGGAAAAAAGCATAAAATAAATATTATTTCAGTTATTTTTAAATTTTTTTTCAGGTGATCTAAGGTTTTTAAAATGAAAGATAAAGTATGGAAAATGGAAATAGTGACAATTTTCCTGACCTGTTTCTGGTTCCACAGAGAAATATGGCTGTCCCTGAAGTATGCTGTAAATTATTCTGGCACTGTTCCCATATGAGGGGTCATCGGCATCAGTAGCTGTAACTTGCACCACAGAAGTACCTGAAACATCCAAAGTCAACTTAGTTTCACATGTGACAAGGTGGAGGTCCGGGAACATCAATTTCCACTTAAGCAGACATTAAAGAATATTTCATATAAAGTCAATTGAACTTTTCAAATATATTTATTAATTTATAGTCAGGTTGAATAATGTACTTCAGGTACATTATTCCCTATTTCAGGATCTCCCTCTACATAAATGGAATCTAAACTTCCCTAATGGCACAAGTGTGATTAAGATCTAATTAGCAATGGTAAACAATAGATACGGTTGAGCTGAATACTTATCCTTAAGCAGTTACAATAATTTCATAATTCTGTAATAACTTCCTCTTTTCAGAAGACTTGTTTTTATTACAATAAATACCTGTTTTCCATTACCTAGAATAGATTTTTAATTTTTTTTGTCCAATGATGTCAACATGATATGAAACTACACATACAGGAACATAGCAAAAAAAGGTTAAATAAGTTGTTGGAACTTGGGGAAAACTAGTCATCATTTCTCCCTACATTCAAAGTGTTAATATGGATAGTTACTACCAGAATAAATATTGCTATATGGATTTTGAAATCTGCTGGTTATTTAGACTCCAGAAAATTCTTTGATCTTAAAAACCACTTCTAAATTTTAGTTGAATATACCAGTTCTTCAAAACATGGAAAGCTTATCATTGCTTCTGCCATTTCTTGCTAAAACAAAAGAGATTCTACATCCTGTTCAACTCCTCCACCAGAGAAATAAAGTATCAACAAGGATATCCTCTATTGTACCTCCATAAAGTATAGATATGATTTTAAGTATATAGGGAAGAAGTGAAAAATAAAAACCAAGGGAAAAAATAATCATATACCCATGACTGGTTAGCCACAGGCTGTTCTGAGAATCTGAACACTTTCAAACCTTTTTCTCTTTTTATTCAAATTCTATCCCTCCACCAAATACTGCCAAACATTGTGAAATAAAGTGGGTATAAATCCAAGGCACTGGTATTATTTAGTCCCTCTCATAAACATGACATATTTATTTCAACATGCACAGAAAGACAAACAGAAATAAATCTGATGATCTTAGAGGTTTCTTCCAACCTTAATGATTCTGATTCTGTAATTCTATGAAACGCTAAGCTCTCTCAGTTTGCTTGAGATTTCACAAGGTAAAGATAAATCTATTTTTGATGAGTCAATTGTTCAATCATGTGAACAATAGCACCAATATCATTGGAATGAGCACATGCCTAACTATTGAATCAGAGATGAGTTCTCAGAAATGTTCAGTTTTCAACTGTTTTAGAACAGGAACACTTGTTTCGGTGAGTCTCTAAAATTACTTGTATATTGTAATCAAGGCATAATGGGCCTGATTTTATTATTACTGATATTAAAATGGCATGTTTTTCCAGACAGTGTTCACTTCTACAGGTGATAAATGCTTGTATGTTATGTAAACAATGACAAGGCCACTGTCTCACCACATGTGCCATATCTGTACCTGCGGGGAGGAGCGGACCCAAAACTGGTATTCCATCCCATATATGTCATACTCAGTACAAAGCTGAGGGACCACGAGGGTCTTGGCCCCTTCTCTGCCCTCTACTTTCTTCTGCTTCTGCAATGGCTGAAGTTCAAGCAGAACCTTGTTAGTTTGTCTGCCTCCGATCATGATTTGTGTGTTCCTGAATCCAGTTCCTGCATCCCACTCCCACCGGCTGCTGTGTCCAGACTGGGACTTTTCCAGAGTGCTGCTCTGCAGAGCCTCAGGTGATGTAATTGTCAGTGGGGGTGGGAGAAGGATTT